TCCAAATATTAATACCTAGCAGGTATATTATGTTTTACAGTTTCGCAGCGCATTATTTTTATGCGTTCAGTGTATTTTTTTTTTTTTTAAATAATTAAATATTTAATATAATTCAACACTTAACGATCAAGGTTTTGTAGACAAGTGTACAAGTGTTTTGGTAAGTATAATATCTAAGTAAAAAGTGTAGGTGTAGGACTTACTATACAGCTGCGGGATATTTCTGTGATGTCTAATAATAATAATAATTGAAACGTCGAAACTCGGAATAAATTAAGTCGTAGGTTCACGTTAATTAAACTAGTTCCTGTTCTAAAAATAAGAGTATCCGTATTATATTTATATACGATAAAAAGTTGCAAGAGTCTAAATTAATTATTAAGGTCTAGAAACCGAAACGGGTAAACACTAAACAGACCTTTTTTGTTTTTCTAAGATAAACATAATACTTGTCTGGTATAAAACTTGTGCAGTTGTGAGTAATTTTAAAAAGTTATAATAGCATAAAAATATTATATGTATAGGTACCCATCTACTAATTGAAAAAATAATATTGTTTTTTAGCAAATAAAATAGTCTATACCCACGGGCACAGCTGAGGGCACGATACTGTAGGTAACGACACGTCTATTTTATGAAAATATAATACAATTACAAGAGCGCTGTCAGAGTTTCGACAAAACGATCGCAATTTTTTATAAAATGATGTCGAAACATTTTTTTAAAAAAAATAATATTATGATTCATAGACGTTTTAATGTAATATCTTTAAATTGCATTTCGTGTGGTTTGTCTCGCTTTGATGAGGGTGTCGTGTACTTGTGTAGGTATGTGACACACAATAATATAAAATTGTTCAAAAATCTACATTCGAGTTTCATTTTCATAATAATATACCGAACGAGACTCACTGTAAATATTATACTCCGTAAATCGTAGCTTAAATTTGGATTTGTGAAGTGAATTGAGAGAACTTTACTTTTATCTGTGGTTTGTTTGAAGTTTTTTTATTCTTGTAGTTGGATTGTAGGAACATAATATTATGTAAATATTAAATATATGACTGTATATTGTGTGCGTAGACCTTACTAGACAATAATTGTGAATAACAACAGCATTACGACCAAACATCTCACAGTGAGGCTGTATTGACGACAAAATACAACAATCTCTCTACCTATGATGTATCTCGCAGAACTACCCCACACTATCATTATAGATGGAGTAACTCAGTCGCCAAAAAGCGACCTCTGCGTTTCCAAGCTCGGGGTGTGCAATCGCTTCTTGTCTCTTAGGTATAATAAGCACTGAACTGAATGTGGTATATGTTCAGTGGTATGAGCGTGTGTCCACAAAAACAGGGTTGGCACACAGAAAAAGTGAAGTTGTTACACATGAGCGATGTACAAGAATTAAAAATTCTATGTTCTTAGTGTTTAAGGTTTATAGGTATAATATAGTTTAATCTCGTATCCCGCAAACAAAATTCAACCACACGAATGAGGTACTGAACAATACGAGTAGCTGGTTGAGTTATGAAGACGTGTACAAGCACACTGTTATCGTGGACACGCGGTATACTCGTATATGTAGTTAAATTATACTTGAACAACTATTAAGATCATTTAAATATTTTTAGCTGAAAAAGTAGCCCGACAAAATGCTGCAGTCGATATATACAACAAACAATCATTAACAATAACAGATCAAGTGGGTACCTACAGTAAATATCAGAATAATATAATACAAACATAAGCATGCAGATTAAATACATTTATTGAGTGATTATTTCAACAGTAAATGCTCATTAGATTCCTCAAACAGTATTAACGTCTTATAAATCATGAAAATTTTAAGTTTACCTACACGAGCGGAATAGAAGTCCAACGTTTTGCGGAGTAGGTAGGTAGTACCCCTGTCCCTGCTCCACTCCATTCGGCTAATCTAAACTTTAAATAGGTACTTACAACTTATTAACTACTAGTTTGAAATTCGATTTTTATACATTGAAATATTCTCTGAAAAAATACTCTTCTTCAGAATATTAAATTTAAAATGATCGTTGTGATTAAAAAGAGTAACAAGCCTCAATAATGAAATAAAAGTAATGATATACGATAGTAAAAATACTTCAAAAATGTGAAATTACAATACCTATACATTTAGTTACATATAGGTACGCGAGGAGGTACCTACTTTATCTATTATCTGCTTATAATCTTATACATATTATAATATAATATCGTATTACTTGCAAGTTGCAAATAAAGTAGATGGGTACCTACTAATAATATTCTATGGTTGGAAGTTTCAAATAAAATAACCTATATAAATTTGAATTTTGAATAGATCAGAATCGGGTTTTTCAAACTGTTTTTAAATTTTAAATAATCCAGGATATTCAATTATTAACAAAATATTTTATTATATAACAAATTGAAAATAATTTACCAATTTATTTTGAGTGAGTTATGTTCAATATAACAATACATATTATAGGTGCCCACACATTATCAACAATATTTCATAAATAAAAACTAATGTAAAGTTCTGCAGTAGTAGGTACCATATGTAGGATTATAGACACTCTTTATCAAAATATAAATTGTATACAAATAATTTAAAACCATTAAGTGTTTCAGTTTTACATTTTTGTCTAAAATAATGCAATATTGTTGTATTATTGTTATAAGATAGCTTTTCAACATTTGTCGAAATAACGATCATTAGGCAATTATTTATTTATTATTTATTTATTTTTTATTATTTATTTGTTTCCATTCTGAACTCTTTCAAAATTTGATAAAATATTGAAGCCACATTTTCAATACTGCATTTTAGTTAATTACATTATTATAGAATCATCGAGTTTTTAATTGTTTGATTATATCTATAAGCGACTACCAGTCGATCGAATTAGCAAGCGATTTGTAAATAAGTAATTTTTAATTTTGATAAAACAATTTGTCAATACATAAAGAACAAAATTATAATGCAAATAGCAAATAGTAAATAGGTAACACATCTTGTAAATATTTATAACACTTCTGGGTAACTGATAACTAGGTACCTACCCTGATCAATAACACAGGTAAAATACTAGATAAACACAGATTTTTCATCCACCAAATCCAAATTATGCTCGTCGTCTTACAGAATCAGACGAGCTCATGACAACCGTCGATGTTACACTGCACCAGCAGCGCTACCTCATACCAACTTTAAAGAGTATCCTCCACAAAGCCGATAGGAATGGCCTACGTCAAACACGTTCAGTTGTTGCCTCTTCTTAACGGTGGCAGTCAATATTGCCTGACTGCAAGTATGGGTCCTCCAGTATCCCAATATTTTCAGCTTTTTAGGAGAATATTTTTCGATGCCGTCAACAATCACTGAGAGGAGAAGTTTTGTTTTCGGCACAATAATCTCAGTCTGCAAAACCGAAGAAAGCCGTTATAGACCTGGCACGTTTTCACGACCCAATTGCTGGAAAATCTGTTTTATTATCTTCCTTTGAGCTCATTTTTCTAGGAATAGAGTACATTATCCTGTGCATTGTCGGAGATTGTTTAGAGTCAGACAGTTTCCAAGAATTCAAGATGAGCAAGCGTTAACTGAACCAGACTCTGTAAGACTGTAACTCTTCTTCGACGTTGACCATTTCTTCCAAATTCCCGGCGGGTTTAATCGGCGGGTGCACATTCGATGTCAATATGTCATATTATTTTCCTCTCAGTCGTCGAATCCCAAATTCGCAGTAATGTTGTCTTGTCGAATATCCATTCTTTAGTTGAAACTTGAAATACCTACTTAAGTGGCCTGCACGTGACCTGTTTATAAGCTCGAAAACATGCCTTACAGGAAAAACTCACATACCGCAGTAATCCGATTTCGATATTTTTTTTTTTTTTTTGTAAAGAAAAACACTTCTTATAGGGCACAGGACTAGGATTTTCAAAATTCTATTTCTAAACCATATAATATGATTTTTTTAAATGACCAATTATCACGAGATTTTGTTATTTTTATTATGTTTGTTTTAAGCAATGAAACTAATCATCGAAGGCCAATACTCTTTGTAAAAAATTATCATATCAGACCACTCATCTATAGTGCGCGAGAGTAATTCTTGTAAAGTGTTTTGATCAAAAAATAACGCTTTTCATTCTTAGTCGGCGGTGCCGTTGACATGTGGGTGCATGCGTAGATGCCCCCGGTACCCGCATACAATCACACTCACACAAGTCATCATTGGCGACTAACACAAACGCCATGGGCGGTATTGCCCATTAATAAAAACACACGAGCAGGCCCCATAACAAGAATAACTCAGAACATCAAATAACCGAGCAAAAATGTTTAGCTAATCCTATGCTAAATAAAACATGCAATCGAGTTTCATGGGAACAAAATATAATAATAAAAGGCCAAAACATTATTTCTTGAGATGAAACCTATTTTTTTTATTTTTTTTATGAAAAATACTATAATTTGTATGAACATAATAATAAAAAATAAATGTAGTTAAATTAAATGAAAACAAACCTTTACCACAGTCCACAGCTAGATACAATAATCATATTTTAATTTAAATACATATTTGTTTAGAATTTTAGGGACCAGCATAACAACGTATAAGGAATTTTGTATTCAATTCTGAAATCAATGGCACGTATATGAATATTGAGATTTTATGAATTTTTAACTACATAACTATTTGAACATTTTCTTGATTTTAACGACTTTTGCCAAAACTCTAACTTCAAATGCGTATAAAAAAATCTTGTGAATATGTATGTTTGATATATTTTATTAATTGTATATCAACAACATATGAATAAAGAACCTTGTATTACATTTTCAGGGATTTTTAAACTCCATAACAATTAAAAATGTAAATATTTATATAATTTGTTATAAATTATAAATGTCTGAAAATGAATAATCTTATTATTTTTTGCTATAAATAACATTCTTGCCTGTGAAATTAATGAACCCAATGACCAACACAAAATATCATATCTATTTTGAACATTACATTTAGATTTTAGAATAATTAGATGAGTCATGTTCAATATATCAATACATATTATCAACAATATTTTATATTAGGTAATGTATATTATATAATTTAAAAAATAAGTTAACCCATTATCTTTAATACTATTTCATGTATAACAATATATAAAACTATAAATGTATGCTGGTTATACAAAATTTAGAAACACAAATAAAAAAGAATTGTTGTAATCACAAACATTTAATTTTTCAATTTTCTTGCTTCATCTTTAACAATATATTTGTCTAACTGCTTTTCAGAACTTGCATCAAACTGAGATAGCTCACGAAATTCTTTATCTCCAACAAAACATATTTCATGTCCATCCTAAAAAATTTTAAGTTGATTATTTCACATGGACTCCAATATAACATTCATTAAAAAAAATAACAATTTATTAATTAAAATAATTCAATATACACTGAGGCAATCAAACTTACAGGATCAGCAAAAATCACCACCGACACTGAAGCTTTTCCAGGTGTGTCTAAGGTTACAAAAGGAGTTAAAATTTTATATTGATTATTGATGGCATTTTCTTGATAACTTTTTAACTCAGATGTAGGAACTGCAAATGCTATTCTTCCATATCCTGTTGCATGGTTAATTGGCTCTCCTGAAAATTATATTATTGTATTGTATGTAAAAAATTGAACATTAATTTATATAACTTCAAAAGTTTTAAGGAATTAAAATTTTTTTGTATAATCTAGATTACGGCAATGTTTGACAAATATTTATATGACAAATATAAAATCTACCAGTGGCGCATTGGATTAAGTATAAGGTATATTTTTTAAAATGGTTCTAAAAATCTCAAAGGTTTCTTGATAACTCTAAGAATAATCTGTAAAACTATATTTTATTTATCTAACTAATGCTAACCCTATATAATTATAGGGTATACAAAACTCCTGTGTGAGTCCTCCTAGCCTATATAGGTTGAAAAACAAAGCTGGTACAGTAGTTTCCATGTCAATAAACCCCATCTAAACAACCATTAATTTTTTGATGTTCATATTATACATAAACATTCAACTAATAATTTAAAAAAAGTAACAATAATTAAAAATTACCAATATCTCTTAATTTCAATTTAGCTTGATCATCGCCAAATCCTAATTCTATTAAAGATTCATTTTGATTGAAAATTTTTAAGCCAAGTATGCCATTCCAAAATTTCATAGATTTCGTCAAGTTTGTAGATGATAACATGACATTTACAACAGGATCTAGAAAAATACAATTTGATTATTAATATAAAATTTGAATGCACCCAACTTAAAATATAAAACTCAGTTCTTTATGAAATATAAAAGACAACTATACAATAAATAATTTACCAAATAGTTTGTTTTAAACAGTTACATAATTTTGTTCATAATAATTATCTTTAAGATGAAGAAAAACATCTGTTCTTCACAAAGTGTATAATTAGTATGATGTATTAGTGTAATTAAAAATACAAATTTAATGATAGTACTATTACTAACATTACTCTTAAAAAACTAATAAAAGAATAAAATACTTTGTTAATAATTGTAAGATGTTGAATCAGATAACAAGGAAAAAGGATCTTAAAATTAAAATATTCGATAAAATATATGGCTTATATAGTTTAATTGATATATACCCTTGTACAACATACATAATGTACTATTAAGGCATTAATAGTTGTTGTATAGTAGTTATTGGCAGATTGGTTGATTTATTGTTCAATAATAATACAGCAGAATGCCAATTAAACTATAGATACTAAAGATTTACCAAAACCAGTAAAAAAAATCCTTACCACAAGATGATGAATAAATTTAAAAAATGATAAGTTATAAATCATAATGTTCAGATATTAGGAAAAGTAAAAATGTTCTTAGAAGTGCTAACACGCTTTTCTGTTTTATGAGTATCACATCTATAAATTATTTGAAAGTTTGAAACACATAAAACTGTGATCGTTAAAATGTATACACTAAATAGTTAAACAATTTAGCTGTGTATAAATTATTTAAATATAAACAAATTTATCAATTTAATATAAAATGTTTCTTATCAATGATTTAGTTTTTTTTATTTAAAATGATATAAGTATTAAATGTTTTTTTTTTTTTACATTAATCTATTGAATTTCTAGTACTTATGAATTATGACTTTTTATCTGAAAACACTTTATCCTATAAAATTCAGAAAATGGGTATCCTACTATATCTAGAACAATAATATTACTATATTTTATCATAGACCATAATATAAGTATTTTAAATAGTTTCTTTTAAAATAAATCCTAAAAATGTTTAACATACATACCTTTATCAACAGGTTGAGGTTCATCAATAACATAAAACTTATATCCTCCAGGTGCTACAACATAAGACGTGTTGTCCTCGACTTCAACAGGCCAACCGAGGGATTTAGCATTTTCTAACACTTTTGAAGATTTTATCGTTATTCCAAGGAAATCATTTCCAAGTTTGTAATCATCAACACCATAGTTGTAGGTAAGTTCAATTACAAAATGAGTGTCTTCTGGTCCATATCCGATCATAGTTTTACTCCAACGATTGTCATACGGTCTACAAGGATTGAATTGATAGAAATTATGTAAGTACTTGATTGCATAACAAATAATCTTCTACTAAATATTGAATAATGAATACCTTGTATTATGTATAATGCACTTAGACTAAAAATTACCTACCCATTGCATGCCGCCTCACAGCCCTGAGTGAATTCTTCATGCCTCAATATCTATGAAAAAATGGTTAATAAACATTGAAGTAACATGTTCATTTTAAGAAAATAATTACTTTCATTCCCAAGAGTTCTCTAAAAAACTTGATGGTTTTCGTTCTCTCGGCTATTTTGAACACGAAATGTAATGCGCGTCCAGTCATCTTTATATAGTCAATCAGTAGATTCTTTTGATTCAACAAGAAAAATCTAAGAAAAATACATACCACAGTTTTTAATTTAATATTTTATTTTTTTTATGTCGTCACAAAACACAACGTCGAAAATACTTACTTTCAAATCGAACGGAAACTAACTATTAAAGTACCTACTATTATGGTAGCAAGTAGAATAATAATAATAGTAGTAGGTAACTAGAAGTTAGTATAGTTACTGTTACTACTTTACTAGTTATGTAGTAAGTACCAAATACTGAACACAGAACACAGTAAACTGGAGGGGATCCGCTGACAAACCGGTTCGCTGAGGTTAATCTGAAATTAAAATGATACGTCATCAAAATATTTTCGTGATACTTTACACCTAAAAGTACCTAGATAACTATAAACAGTATAAACCGGGTAGGTACTTATTTTCAGTAAATAAATATGGAAAAATCAAAATATTAAGATTTAAAAATAGATCTATGCAATTATAAAGCAATATAGATGTAAATTGTAAATATTAAATAACATTTATCCACACGGTCCGAGTACACCAAAATTGTATATATTTTTTCGTTATTATACATATACCTATATATTACCAAAATGTCCAGCGGTGTATATGTGTAATTATGATTTAGGACTTGGGTCGAAGGATTAAACTACATAATAAAAAGCTTAGCCGCTTTAGTGATATAAGAATTAAACATTTTTTAAATTATATTTACTTCGAAAAAGGATATTTTTTATGTGTATTTTAAATTTCAATTAGATACTTCAAATAAAAAAAAAATGTTTAACTTCACTGTTACGATGCGCGTAAGCCAACAAACGTAATAAATAACTAATAATGTATCATGTACTCAATAATAATACACATTGCGTAGTTCCCACGCCATATCATTATTAGAAAAAAATGTGATCATATATCAACAAGACTATTTTTCAAACTTATAATATTTTTTTAATTCTATATTTATAATTATGATAATCTCTATGACGATTCATAAGTAGTTTATTCTAAATTTAATCAGAATATAGTGTCTAGGAACCTCACAATAATAATCCAAAATATTAATTAATTGTTCTCTGACGTAATGAGGCTTAAATGTATATTATAACTAATAAGTAATAATCCCAGTATAACATAAATCAATAAATCATTATGCATTCAGTGTCTGAAACAAATGACGATAACGCAAACAAATATTTCATAAATATTGATTTTGGTGCAGTCCCAGTTGGTTCCGTTCGTAAAAGATCAATCGATATAACCAACGATTTAAAAGCAAGTTCATATTTTTTTGCAGTTATTTATAAAAACTACTATGTTCATATATTATCATATACCATTATATATTTAATATTTATTCAATGGTTTTGCACAAAATCTTTCTAAATTCAAAGTTGGATAAAATATTGAGTTTTTTGACATAAAACGAATGAAAGAACCAACATAATATATGATTATTTCACTTTTAAACATTAAAAATAAGTATGTTTGTATTTAATTATATTTATCATTATGTTAGTAGTAACTATTATAGGTACATTTTTTATATTAGGAACCTATAATTTATGCAAAATGTATTTACCTACTTAACATGTCAAAAAGAGAACATCGATAAGAAATAATGTACACTTTATTAATATTATTTATCATTGTTTATTTTTTAGAAGGTCACAAAATTTAAAGTAAAAAATAATAATGAATCTATGTACTTGGCTGATTCCATCGAATTTGAGCCGTCAAAAACTCCACGAATATTTCCAAACAAAAAAGCGACCTTTATTGTTATATTTTCTCCGAAATCTGTACAAAATACATTAGAGTACTTCACATTATTTTCGACAGACGATCAAATTAAAACGGTTGATGGCGAACTTGCAGAGGATAAATCACTGAAAAGTGAACATAGTGATGTCGAGATAGTACAAAAAGTCATAGTACGCGTACAGGGATGTTGTTACGGTAATAGCAGCAGTTAGTCACGTCTAAATAGTAAATATTTAATATTGAACTATAGTCATAAATTATAACGAATTGAAAACTTAATCGCAGGTGTGTAATACATATTAAACAAATATCATGGGTTTCGTAAACAATATGATGAAATTGGTGAATATACCATAACTATGATATCACTATTTTAATTAGGTATACACTATAGTTAAAACAGTGCAGCACCGTACATATCAATATTAATATTTTAATGATACGATAAATAAACGCATAAATCGTATATATAGTAGGATCGTAGGAACCTATTTTACTAAAGTTATTAAACTGAAGATATTATAAAATTACCGATATTATGCAATTTGTATTTGCCTGTTAATTTAAGGTCCATCAGTTAAAATGTCACCGACCAAAGTGTTCATGTGCCAATCAGGAGGAGATGGACCAATTATCAAGTCCGTAAACCTTATAAACAGTTCCAAAATGCCTGGACAGTATCACGTGCAATATGATTGGGCGAATTGCCCGATAAAATGTAATCCGTCGTTTGGAACGGTCCAAAATCGTGTTCAGATCAAATTGGAACTGAAACCCGTTCAAATTGGATATTACTACAAACGGCTTTACATTCTGATCGCATACCACGTAACACCCATATATTATTAATTATTATATAGCGGCCATATTACATGTAGTCACATAGCCACTTACATTTCTAAAGGATATAGTACCGTCCTAATGCCCTTTGATTGCAGTATTAATTAATAATAATAATAATATGAACACATTTAGGTATTTCAGTACTTAATATTTTTTATAGAAAACCTTAAAAAACTTGAAATTTGTTTTTCATGGTTTAACGGAAACTAACCGTAATCATTAGGTGGTATATATTATTTTATCAAACCAAAAAAATGTTGGATTATTATTTAAATTAAATATAGCACTATATTGTTATCGAAAGAAAAAGTATATAAAACGTTATTTTTTTTATCAGACGATGCCATTTAAAAATGTATTCTAAAGTCTAAATATTGACAATAACAATAAGATAATGAAAAATAATTTAAATTTACCTCATAGTTTACAACACAGGTATAAGCTATTATTTTTGTTGAACGATTTTTATATTTATATTCATACGTGTCGAAATATCTAGAGTTATTATACTATTATTAACTATTTTTTTTTTTATTAGAATTAAGGCTTCAACTACAAAGGTCATTAGCCAGGACTGGTGGGGGGAACGGTTGGTTGGAACGCGTATGTATGTGTAGCAAGGCTTTTGTTGCGGGAGTTTTATAGCCGAGAGCTAGCAACGCAGGCCGGTGAGTACGCTCAGTGTGTTTCCGCAGATTGAGCGTACGACCGCGACACACTGCGACACATTACTAATTATTATAATGTACTTTTAAAACTTAAAAATAATCGTGCTCTTCTATATATACCTAAAAATAATTATACATCAAATACAGGGTACGTCACCGCCGATCGGAAGAAATTCAAAAATCATAACTTGTTGGTCGGTCCCATCATAGCGTATATTGTAAAATAGAACATATATTATGTTCTAGCATCCTGTTTACGTTGACATATACGCATTTTCTGGTACAATGAAGATGGATCCGTTTTCGTACTTCAAGTCACCGTTCGGACCAATGCCGAAATCCGAAAACAAATACGTCGAATACTTTAAAGACGTCGAGCACCCAAGGAACGACGTACAACACCAAGTAACAGTATTACCAAAAGAATTACGATTTGGTTACGTGAGGAATGTAAAAACCATAGCCTTTAACGTACGCAACGATTCCGACACGCCGCTTTGCATAAATTGGATTCACGGTTAAGCATTAATTATATTCGTCGCAAATTGTCGTATACCCATTACCACAAATCTGTCCAGCAGAGTCAAGTACATCTACACATATGACATATCATACATCCAAAGGATAATATCGAATAATTATTACAAAACTTCATTTTCAAACGCGCGTTCGCTGTTATAAAAATAATCAGTAAAATGTTTCAAAAATATACATTTTTGCATGATTTTCAATGTATCCATTTAAATATTTGACATAAAGTACTTTCTTCGATCACAAACGAATATGCGGCTATCAAAACTGAATCATAAATTTGTTTTAATAATTTATCACATAGAACTTATATTTATATTTTAGCCCCTCAACTCTCAAGTTAATCATAATATAGAAAACAAGATATTATATTGAACGCTAACACAAATTACAGGGAGACCTGGTAGTAAACGACACGGCTAGTCGTGGTTAACGACAATTTACACTATAAACTTAAAGTTCTTAGGCCTAAACAATAACCTAATGTATATATTATGTCCTTTCTTGTACACAGAACCCGGCAGTGATAACCCGTTCGCGATAAGTCCAAAACAGTTTTATATCGGTAGCCACGATACGAAAAGGCTGAAATGCGTGTTTCGACCAAAAATGGTTTCGAATATTTACTCTGTTGAGTTCGAAGCAACCGTTCATTTCGGGGCCGCCGACCCTGTCAGGCCGTTGAATTGTTTCACTGGATACGACACATTTCCGAAGCCTACGTACGTGGCTCCGATGAGCATTTCAATAACGGCCAACGGTACGCATATAGAAAGCGTGATCAAACATAAAACACTCATAATTTTAGAAAACACAAACTTCTTGAAAATATTCCTTTTGCATAATTTTAAATCGATACAAAAGAACTTAAAAAAGTCTTATATTTTCTAACTATTTTGAAATGACAACATACATTTTTAATTTCATATTCGAAAGTAGAATATTATTCGGAATATTTCCGATCTATACAAATCAAATTTTCGACAAGAAGTTTATTAGTTAAGGTATTTAAAGTTTAGATAAGCAGAGTATTTGACTAAAATGTTGTGGGCACCCTGACAGTACCACCATAGAACAATAATATTGGATATACCTATTCTATTTTTGTACCTAGGTACTATGGTAACACCACTCCATTCCGCTCCGCGAACAAAACTTTAAGTACTTATAACTCATAAGTCATAAGCTACTAGTATAAAATTCGATTTTCATGCATCGAAGTAGGTACTCCTAAAAATATTCTATTTGGAAATAATGAATTTAAAAATGCTTTTTGTCATTAAAAAAGGTAAATACATCAAATATGATAACGATTGGAAAAATATTTTTTTTAAGACATAAAATTGTGTAAAAAATATGATTTTGAAAAAGTTAGTGTTTTCCGAATTAATGAGTATCTTGGAACTAAATTTATCACTCAGATACACATTTTATACATATAATATTCAAATCCCTTTTGTCGATGTTGATCGAAAAGGTTTCTATTCTTAAATAAAATTGTACTGATATCCAGGCCATAGTTCCGAAAATCGGTTTACCGGATGGAAATCCACATGTAAACTCAGCAACCGTGTGATAGTAATGCCGCCGGCTGTGCCGGCTTCGAAGCCCGTATTTGCCACGCTGTTGATTAAAAGAGTCGCTCGAGTGCCAACGACGTTTGAATTACGACCGCCTAATAAATCGTAAGTAAAAATAAAGAGTGCATAGTGCATATATTTTGATTATTGATAAGTACCGAACAATAATATACATATTAATTCAAAGAATATTTCATTTCAATTCCTCCCCACTTATTTAACTTGTGATTCTTAAATGTGATTTCTTCAATGGCAAAAATTATTTTTTTAATCAAATTGGTTGGAATTAATCTAGAATACTTCGGCCAATTTTTCAAAATAATAATTGAAAAAAAAAGTAATTGGAAGAATATTTTTATCAACTGTAATTGTATTGCTGTATGCGAATTGCCGATGGTTAATGTAGGTACCTACATGACGTACCTACCCACACAAACAATAAGTATACATAGATAACACTAAATAACAGTGTGCACATTTATTGTCTTTTATTACTTACCTCATAAACATTAAATTATATAATTTTACGAGGTCACAATTTGAGTTTCTATTGTGTTCACTGATCTGAAGTCATGATGTGAACTATCAACTATGGATTGACTATCAATTAGATTATTACTGATTAGAATGAAAATTTAGAATTTAAAAAAAATGTATTAATCATTAATTAATTTACAATAACCACATTTAGTATTATTTATGTAATAAAATCTATAAAATCTAATAGTACTTTAAAAAAAATTAGGTTGTATAAAGTTATTAAAGAATACAACTTAATATATTCAAATGTAAAATATTCTCTAGTATACGGTGTGATCAGTGGAGCATAATATACAAAATATATGTTCCTTTTTGAGGGATATACCCTAATTGAATTTTATAATATTTTTCAAATTACATAACAATAAGTGATAATAAAATCATTGTATAATTATTGTTACATTTTATCAAAATTTAAAAATATTAGCTTTTAATATCTTTTTTTTTTATCTTTTTACATCTTTGAAAACAAGTAACATAATTTTTAGCCATAAACCACATAAACTATAAAGACAAAGTAGGTACCATAATAATTAATAGGTATATACTATGTACGGTTTAATATATAGGGAAGTAATAATTACAACTTTTGTCTCAAGTTTTAATGATCAGTGTGTAATAGAGAAAAAAAAATTATTGAGAGGCCACAGAAACTACATTAAATTAGTTATACTAACATTTTAACATGATAATATATTAAACTGTATAGATTCTGATTGGTTTTAACAAATACTATACCTAATCGAGTTCATTAAATAGGAGATTTGTAGTTGGTAGTTCCATGCTATTGCCCACTATAATCATACAAACTTACAAATGTTTTCACTATGGCAGAGGTCTATTAAATGTTCAACCCATATTTTCAAATTTACGTTTTGCAGAAGCAAAAGATCCATAAATTAATTTGATTATAGAATTAACTGTATTACTATTAACATTTACATAGGTAAATTACAAGTTTGAAAATCAACAGCCTAAATATGTGAAGTAGTAACTAGTGTAGAGAAGTATTTGTGTACCTACCAGTTTTTAAATAATTTTCTCAGTAGCAAATTATTTTTATTTGAAATATTCAATGGAGTTTTTTTAAAATTTAAGTATTTTACTATTAAACACTACCGATTCATTCTTTTTTTTATCTTGTACAAGTTCATATTCAATTACAAACATTTATAAATTCGCTAACAATGAAACCTTCATAATCAAATGCCAATAATGTAAAATGTGATAATTAACAGGTTATTTTTAATTTAATACCCAATACAATACATTGACAAAAATCAAAAATAGAAAAAATAACAATATAAAGTAGAATATGTATAGTAAATAAGGCAGAGGACTTTACAATGTCATAATTTACACTACCACAAAAATAATGAAGTGAACGACAAATAAGCTTATGTTATGTGGTTTTCCTGAGATTCAGTGGTCTCTGTGGTCGGTTAATTTTGAAGAGAGACAAAGATGCTATTTTGAGAGATAAAAGTGAATAATTCCAGCAATTTATAGTTTATTTATATATTTATAGAATATTCATGGAATAAAATCTCTAATACATAAAATAAAATAAGTATATTCAATAATAAATACTTGTAATTAATTTTAAATAGGTAGGTACATAAATAAATAAATAAATAAAAAGCAGCTATAAAGAAAAATTCATTATTTGGCGATATTTTAGAATACAGGTCCTTTCTACCTTAATAGTAATTAATAAATAATAAAAAAGAAAATTACTGAAAAAACGACATCAATAATTACCTCAATAATACTTGACACAGATCCAAACGCAAGACTAAAACTTTTAAAAATAAAAAACTTGAAGAAACTGAATTCTCTTGTTATTTGATTTATTGTAAATGTACTAATTAAAAAATGTTAAGTATAACCGGTTAAGCGGTAAATCTGAATTAATTTTTTATTTTTACTAAAGCTTCAAACAATCATTGAGTATGAAAGCTGAAAAGTACAGTTACCAGAAAATACTTAGTACTTACTACTAACTTTTTTAGTTAGAAAACAACAATAATATGATAAGATAAAAGATATGAGTTTTATCAAAGAATTTAACAGTATGACCATTTGAGAGATTAAAATGATACTTTTAAATTGTATTAATTATAATTCATAATACATACATAATATTATTTCTATGATATTATTAAAGAGCAATAAATTATTATTGTTATTATTATTATTATATGCTAAATATGCAACATGGATTTAGTGATTTACATTATAATTAATCCACGTTATATCTGAGCAGTGTTCTCTAATCTTTGCCTAGAAAGGGAGGGGGTCAGTATAAGTATTTATTTGAATGTTATATAATAAGTGATTTAAAATCATATCCAAAGACTGTGCTCAGTTAAACTTTTAGTTCCTCCGCTGGTCACCTTACTACAAATGGTTCTAGATACCTATATATAATCAAACAGGGGGGCCTCGAAGCATTCACCATCCAGAATCCAGATCACAGGTATAATCATATTACATTCCTATACAAATATTAAATCATAAATAATTTCAATGCTAAGTATGCATAGGTAGGTCGTAGGTACCTATTTTTCTAACCATGTCACTATTTACAGGCATTAGACAATAAAATGCAGTAGTTACTAGTTTCTTCTAGCTGTCTGCATTGCATTTGATGTACCTAGCTGGGAACTATATAGGTAAGCCAGTAGGTACTTGTCAGTTGTCACTTGAGTCATTTTCTAGCTGCCTAACTATTCAGACCCTTCCATTTTTGGTAGTTATGCTACAGATATCGTCGATCGCCAATGTATCTAAAAAAAAATTATATATAATATAATTATATTATTTATCCACGATAAAACTGACATTCAAGTTAAGGAATCAGTGTGGTGATAGTTACTTCTGTCTACTTCTTCTCTCTATTGATATAACGGCTGAAAACAGATCCATTCGATATAACTCATCCACTTTAAATTTTAATCGCATCTTACGATAAGCATGAGTAACTGTAAGACGTATTCCTATTGCTGATCCACGCATTCATTTGGTGTCTATACCTGATAAACGTGTAGGTGCTCATATATTCTACACCTCTAAAATACATAAAACAATGTATATATTTCGTCTATTACCACGAGCAAACTATATCGACACATATTATATACTAAAAGAGTTGGAATCACGATTAAAGATACTTTAAAACGTTTTTGAAATCTAATACCTCGCTCAATTCTATCTCAATGTATTTCTTAATTTGTAAATATACACAATACACATTATAATATGTTAATTAATCATTATGACTTATGAGTTAAAGTTATGAAGCAGAAGCACTAACACTAAATGCCCAAATGTTTACATTATAGAATGTTCTTAGCAAAACCCATGATGGGAATGATAAATAGCGATTACCAAATCATAGTGTTTCAACTCATGAAAACGAGCAATAAAGAGTCGCTTTACGCCGAACGGTGGAGCGTAGTGTTCGATGGTATCAAAAATAATTCGGTCAGTACCTATATAAATATAAAATTATTAATATTAATACTAATTTCAATGTCAGTGACGTATCCATATTATGTGAGCCGTGAGGGGTGGATGAAGCAACCTCTCCATTTTTAATTGAGTCATAAGCAATTTTATTTGCATAATTCATAATAATCATCATAAATTCATCAATTTGGTACTTAAATTTTAAAATTTGGACTTAATGTTATGACATAAAATAAATAACCGACTTTTAAAAGAATTTCTTTCGACACTCAATAACTGTACTATGTCATAATCAATTTTTGATTGATTACGTTAAAAAGTTGGTTGCGTCAATTTGGTTTTTTTATATAGCGGATGAGGAGGCCATAGCTTTTACGATCCAATAAGCCTTAAACGAGCGTTTTCACTACACCCCCCACCCCCTTAAGCCTAAATCGTGACACTCAGTGTTGCAGTGGAAAAGGTTAAAAGAAAGCCTAGAGTAATGCTCTGTCCAATTACTCTATGAAAGAAAGTGACAACCTCCGGTTACAGGTCACCATAGACATCTACGCGAGCGCGGAATTCGGTTGCGTGACGATCGGCGAGCGGAATCAAGTGGAAGTGCCCAACGACGTCCAAGTGGGGTGCGAAATGCGGGACGGGCTAGTACCGATAGTTAATACGACCAGACATAGGCTGCGGTACTGCATTGAAGTGAGCAGTCAACATCACTCGGTAAACAACGAGCTGATGGAGGTTCCGCCCACCCAACGTCGTTATTCGCGGGGTTCGTTGAGCGAGGAAGAAATTGATGTGGAAGATATCGATGTCGAACACGCACACTATACGGAATCGGAAATCGACGACGAACCGGAAATCGACGACGGATCGGAAAATGACGATGGATCGGAGAAGGACGACGGATCGGAGAAGGACGATGAATTGGAAAAGGACGACGGATCGGGAAAGGACGCTGGATTGGAAAAGGACACGGGGTCCGAAAATGACGATGGATTGGAAAAGGACGCGGAAAAGCATGCCACACCGGAAAAGCATGATGGACCTGAAAATAACTCCCAATCGGAGTACTCCGTAACGGAGGGGGAAGCTGCGCCTGCAGAAGAGGACGACGAAAGTCTGTTGAGCTATGACGTATATTCAATCAGTTCTTCGATGTCGTCTCCGCCGAAGTTTGGACGACTGTCGTCGATGCTATGGCTCGATGCGGAGAGGACGACGCCGTGGCCGTTCGTATTTGCGTTCGATGCGCTAGTCGGCGAGTTGGGACCCAACGAGAGACGCGACTTGCGGTTGTCGTTCCGCCCGACAACAAACTGTACGTACACGGCCGACGCGACCTGCTATTTGACGTGCGACCGCGACGACTACCCTAAAATCGTCAACGCGCTACCCGTCACCATCGAAGGCACAGGATGCAGAACGCGGTTCAAGGTGAGCTCAAAAATTGTCACCATCAATCAAGTTAATAAATATTAAATTATCAAAATATTTTCTAAAAACATTTGGACGAAAAATAACCACAAGTCAAGAACAGTGATAAATTTCTACGTTACCTATTTAATAATATTTTCATATAGGTATGTATATTTATTATAAATTGATATCTTAGAAGAGCATGGTATCGGTCATAGTATTTTTTTTAGAATAATTCATATCAAGCCTACCAATATCAAACCAAAACAATTTAGATGAATCTGCGGATATTTGATATAAAATATTATTATTTATTAAATATTTCCATAAAATATACTAGACGTTAAAAAAAGCATAAATAATAATTTTAATAGCTGTTAGTATAATACTTCTATTTTTAGATGAAAATATATCTATAATTCTTTCGATATCAGTATGCAAATATTTTCTGTGCAATATAATAGAAGAATTATTAAACGTGTTTCCTAGTTTACTTGTACGTAAGTACGTGAACTTGTTTAACTTTTTTATACTGAGCATATAAGTAGCAATGAATGTGTTCGCAAGTTTGAGCAATAAATTGTAAAGACCTAATGGTTTCTTGTAAAAGTTTAAATAAGTTGAGTTGTATATTTTATAGCTTTTTTTAGAAAAAAACATCACCATTTATTTAATTATTTGTTATTCATGATTTCTTAATGCCTAAACTGTTTGAGATCTTGGCCGATTTATGTTTGTATTTTATTCTCAAGATAGCGAATAGCATACAGATACTTTTGATACTTTTGAGGTAGCAAAGTCCCCCACCCCTACATATTATTAGCATATTCTTTCTTCTAAACGACATCTTCTTTATTTAACTTTAGATAATACCGGAAAATTGTTATTTGAACAATATGATAGTTAACACGGAACGAACACAACGATTTATAATCGAAAATACAAATCGTTCTTACGCAAACATCAAATTTGTTATAACTTCAGCAAGTTCTATGATTTGGCCTATACCGACTTTTAAAATAAATCCTCAAGCTTTTCGATTCACGCCTCAGCAAAATCAGTGTGTACGTTAATCGTTTTTAAGTTTTAACATTCTCGGCGATTGCAAACGTAAAATTGTATACTACATTATTTTTAGAAAATGGATTTATCTATATACCCTACGGAGTTGGGATTTCAAAAGTTTTTCGTCAACATACAGTTTGATCCTAAAGTGGAATCTTATCCGGAAAACGAAAATACAATAACGGTCAGTATGGACGTCATGACGTGTGCACTGAAAATCTTAAAAATATCTAACGATTCTATACCTTATTTCGGAAGATTGGCTTTGAACAAACTTTTTCATAGCCTAAAGTAATTATAACACAGATTATCAAGAGAGCCGAGAGGTCATACGTGCACTACCTAGTTTATAGGTATATTATTGTATATCAGCACAAAACTGATTACAGGTTAAACAACGAACTCGGTGAAGTTTATAGAAAAAATATATCACCATTAATATGGACTATACCTGTAATTTCTGAATCGACCACTTTTGACGTTCAGTTATTTAATTATTCTAAAGTACCAATTAGTTGGGAAATAAAATACAAAGAATGCATAAAATGTACATTGGAAAACAAAAACAATAATAATAAACATAAGAACTGCATTACTCTTTCCAATAAATGTGCGCACCAGAAGAGTATTAGAATTACTCCAACTGTAAACTTGAAAGTAATTCAAAACAAATTTCATTGTAGTTACTAATATTACCTTCGTAATACGTAATAAGTTTATTCCCAGTTATCCAATTTAATATATTGTACATTTGTACTTATGACAATCACAATGATAATTTTAGATGGACAATTTTTCAAAAATGCAAGTAGAATTAAATACTACAAGTAAAGAAGCAACTAATTTGAGTTATAAATGGTCAATTGGAGTCTATAAAACGTTATTTTATAACACTGAATTGTTAATAGAACCTAAAACGTTTAAAGACGGGTTAATATCGTTTGATCCAAAATACGGAACAACCGGACAACTAGAATTCAATTTTGTACCAATATTCATAGCTCATCCTAATCCACCAGCACAAGTTCATTATGACATTATATCATTATATGATTAATAATAGTATAATAATTATTTATACTTTGCAGGCTTTTTGGATGTATAATAGCAATGATTGTAATGTAACATATTCAATAATTGACGATTCATTAACACCCGCGCATCCATATTTCCGTTGTTTAAACCCAAGTGGAGTATTCAAACCGAAATCAGTAAATCCAATACTATTTGTATTTTCACCGAACAGACTATGTGCGTTTGAGGTAGTTTAAAAAAAAATAATTTAATGAAACTAAAAATATTTCAAATAAATAAAATTATATTTTTATAGGCTACAATAATGCTACTAACAAACAATTATTACAGACGCCAAATAACCCTTTTAGGACAAGGGGAATCTTATACTAGAACCACTATTTCACCAGGACATGGCTTGTCATCATTTTTACCTATCCTAAATGATAGACAAATATTTTTATCAACAGAAAATATAATACTTACACCAATATTCACACTATCAAATACTGAATCCTTGTTTTGTCTGTATAACAACAGTGACGAAGAAATTATTTACGAGTGGAAAAAGTATGATTTTCTTATTTACTTGATATAGGTAGGAAAAATTTCAAAAGTAATATGTATAAGAATAATAATAAAAATTTAAAATATTAAAATAATGTGATATAGGTGTACGATTGACACAATTTTAACGGCTAAAATATGTCCACTTAAAGGACATTTAAAAAAATATGGAAGTCAAGTATTTGAAATATCCATTACCAGTTATAATGAGCCAGCTATCTTAACAATAATGTTAAATATTAGCTATAAGTTTGTTTCTCAAATTGAAAATTATGAACGGTCGTTAAGAAACTATAATATAAATAAAGAGAGACTTGAAGGATATTTTAGAATTGACGAATGTGGCAATTATAAATCAGTAAGAATTTTAAATAGCTATCTTTAAAATATAATTTTATTTCAATTTTTATTTTTATTTTGCCCACAAAATGTTCACTCATCTTATCAAATTAAACAAATAAATAAATGTACCTATGTTCGATGTATTTTAGTATTTATATAATAACAAAAAAGATTAATTAAATTATTGATGACAATTAAATATTAACACATAATGTACAATATGTACTTCTGTAATCTACATATACCACATACGTAATAAACATTAAAAAACCGGTGAAGTCGCTCTGCTGTACCTATATATTTACGAGGTATAGATTGAGATTGTATCTGATCATTGAGTAGGTCACTATAATGGATCTTTAAATTTTAATTCACTGATAAATGATAATTTATTGAATATAGCAGCCAAGCAGGTATCTATAAATGATTTTAAGCGGTAAAAGTTACCTATATGTCAGCCTCTATTTCTAATGATATTTTATTTTTTATAGTTCAGTTATAACTTATATTTTTAAGTTTACTGTAAGTAATTTATTTTTATAGCATGTACTCATTTTGGCCCAAAAGTAAAAAATCGCATTAATGCATAACATATTATATTAATATTTACTACCAAAAGCACGCATATAATTACCGCAGACCATAGCACAGTGTTAAACACCTATAGGTACTTATATAGAAGTGATATAATATAGCTCAAAATTAGTCTGAATATTTTGACAGTCGAGTATAATATTAAGTATGAAAAAATAAATAATACTAATAGGCATTGACTTCTTTATCGTTCTATACTTCTATCGCATATAAATGTAGTTTCTAATTATGGCAGTATAACTTGATTGTAATTGTTCTCTCTAGAAAAGTTTTTTTTGAGTGGCATCTTCTTGTGCCTTGTCTCAATAGATATAAATATAAAATGGATGTAGGTATGTGTATCATTAATATACAGATTTTAATTATAATTTTACATATTTATCTAGTACCTACCATAAAATGAAACTATGAAAGTAAAAAACCATAAGTCTGCAAAATATACCTACCTATAATGAAATGTTTTTAGAAATTAAACATGAAAATAGAAAAACAGCCACAAGAAAAACATCTAGTACTATATGTGTACGTCAGAATAATCGATGAATATAGTAAATGGATAAATGAAGCAAATAATAACATTAAAAAGCACAATTTTCAACAAGAGAAAAGGATTATGAAACAAAAATTGGACTGTTCGGATAACTTTCAAAACATCCTATGGTAAATTGATCAATTTATAATTAAAAAAAACAGTGATTTAATATGGTTGCCCAACTATCGCAGGGATGTTGTAGATAAAATTTGTTCAAGAGAAATCGAATCCAAGCCATCATTATATTACCATCAGTTGAGAAATTCAAAACAAAACCATCAAAACAATATGTCAAAAACAACTAAAAATAACCTGAAAACTATTTTAAAATCACTTATTAAAGACAGTTTGGTTGACATATATCCATTAAATACATGGAAATACTAATAATGAAAATATTATGCGTATATAGTATATACACGCACTTTCCAATTATTGCTTACTAACATTTTGCCTTTCAGTTGCCTCAGGCTCTGCTGTTATGGTTATTGGCGTTTCTAACGATACATTAAAGATACTTTATATTGAAGTTTTATACAATTTGTTTTAAATATGATACACGAAAGTTAAATTTATTGTAGTGACATGTGATCTAAAACTATGTGTATATGTTATATTTTCTGGAGCACTGGAGCAGGTTCGTCTCAGGAATTGAAAAAGAATCAATATAATCTCTCATATATGTTCCTTTATTTTTTTTTATTTTTTTTATTATATTTATTGAAAATCCATCTTTACTTGAGGATGAATCACCTCTCATGTTAGAAATAATTTCCAGGATTTCTAGCTTAGTCATCTTTCCAAGACAGCAGTTCCCAACCTTTTTCATTCTACGCCCCCCTTGTAAATTTACTAAAATTTCCTAAACATCCCTTTAAATTAGAGTTTAGGTGAATTTTTTTTGTGAGCGGTACAAATAAAACACTCAAAATAACATAGTATACAGTACCTATACAGTATACAACTATTTACTTTTATTATTTTTTTCATCATTTTAAAAATGTATTATAAATCAACTTGCGAAGTAATAATATTAAGTACAAGAAAAAAAAAATTTAATATAAAAACAAAAAAAATTAACATAAAGTATAAATAATATAAGTAAATTTAATGATGTGAATCAAGCTTTGTATCTATGAATATTAGATTAAATGAGAAAAGGCCTATCGACTCAATCGTTAGGTACACCTACCAAAGAATAGATTAAATTTAATCTTTTCTGTGGTTATACCTAATATATAATTGTTATCGATGCCCGACAATCTGAAAACTAATATAGTGATTTCAATTTTACACATAGTAAAATAACATAATTAGTTTCGTAATTCCATCATCACTATATTCCCCTCCCCTCCCCGAGCAGACTCTAAATTCCCCACGGTGCGGAACCGCTGTTCTAAGATATAGTGACTGGTTATAGATGGATTTAGTTAACGCCACTATAATTTCATTAGTAGTTGAGTTAGAGATTACAGTACTCGAATTTCTCATATTGGTGAAATATTTGTGAAAAGTGTTTCCTACTAGAAAGGGATTGTTGCTTGAATCGTGTATTGAGTTGTTTATATTAATTTTATAATTTTGAGAACGGTATTGAGGTTGGTTTGTTATTTCTTTTATAGTTGACCATAACTTTTTGGATTTCTACTGTTTTTTTTAACAATTTCATCATAAAATTCAAGTTTCTGTTTTTTAATTAAGTCTGTTAATTTGTTTCTATATTGTTTATATTTATCGATTAGAGCTGTGTAAATGGTGGCTGTCCATATAAATCATAAAAACATATTAGGTACCTATTTAAATATATACCTAATATTATGTTAAATCATATATTTTGTAAATAATGTGTAATTGAATAAAATGTATATTGTATATGTTTTATTATAAAAGGCTTATGTCAGGTTATTATTATTTTTTTTTTTTACGTTTCATATTATACCTCGCTATTTCGTTTATTAATTTTTATGTACCTATTTATTTTATAAATCAAATTACCTACAACTAAAACACTAGTCAAGTAATATTTTATATTGTTATTTTTATTTATATTTGATGTGTGTAAAATACTGTAAATATATGTTTATAGTTAAGGAGGGGTGTATGGAAAAACCTCTAATTGGTACACCCAAGACTAGAGCCTAGGCAACAGTAGTGATCTAATCATAACTGGCTAGTATTTCCGCTTCATTTTGATAACCCATACCATTCAAAGAATACGTTCACATATGTTGTTCCCATGTTAGGGTAATAGTGTATTTACTGTTTAATGTTTTTCCGCCTCATGTCAAATAACATGTCAAAACCGCCACTGCTCGGAGATGAATTTTGAGGAAATAATTGGCGTGTTTGTGGAAACAATATTTACATAATTTCAACGGGTTGTGTCTTGTTCATACACAGTTTGTTTGTTATTGTCATTTCGTCAGTCGTGATAACACTATATCAGTCACTGTGTTGACGTCGGTTGTCGATCGTAATTCGTAGCTCGTGCGGACCGTCGAACCGTGACTAAATCGACGTTCGTGTCATGGAATAATTCACCACTTGCCAGTCGCTGGCCGCTGCTAATCGCTATTGAAATACAACTTTTCTGGGGCTTTCGAGTTGCTGCATAGTGCTTACAAAAAAAAAATCAGTACCTACCTATAATAGTAACCTTATAGACCGACAATGCTCATAATTTATTCAGCCGAAATTCGGCTGCTGAATGTACTTCTTTAAACACCGTTTCGTCATATTATTCTCATTGATTGTGAACCTTCGACGGCTTCTACAACTAAAAGTATGCCGAAAAATCGCGATGAAATACTTCTGAGCGAAGAATACGGACCGGAAGAGTGCAATGTCATATACAAAAGACATGGTATTTGAAAACGAGTAACTTATCATAAGCGTTTGATTAATAAACACTAATAAGTTAAGTTTTTTTTTTCAAAATCTGATTCAGTGCAGTAGAGAATGAAATTTCCCCCGACGTTGTTTAAAATTTTATTTTAATATAAAATTGTATTTGATAAGTTAAGATTTGTATAACTTGCCATTGATATAACAATATAGTTTACTGAACAAACTGTCCATAATAGTATGTCATTTAATTACATTTTAAACAATTTAGAAAATATGACCGTGTATTTTTAGTTGAACGCCTATATTATGTTCAGTATTTGCAGCACTCATTACTGTTTTTTTTAGACCAACGGCAGTTGATATTGGAATCTGAAAGGCGGAAACAATCCACTGGCTTCATTCGTAGCTCAGTTAATATTCTAAGAGAAGTATTTTTGCCCAGAGGATTTCCAAATAGTGTGAGCAAAGATTATACGGAATATCAAATTTGGGATACAATACAGGTGACATTAATTATTACCATCTCTGAAATAATGCTAGAAGATATCAATTAATATTATACTATGTTGAAAATTTGAAGTACTTATCTAATAAAGTATTAAATATTCTATTGACCTTTATAATAGAATAGAAATTTAGTTTTGATTACTTCACAAATCATTACTTCAGTAGATTAACTGTATCTAAATTTGTTTTTAGGCCTTTTGTAGTACAATATCAAACATATTAGCTACAAATGCTATTTTGAAAGGTGTTGGTGTAGGTGATGCTCAAGCTACAGCTCTTGCTGCATCCATTACGTATATACTTAAAGATGGAACTGGCATGATCGGGCGCATTACTTTTGCTTGGTGGAAAGGGTAAATTACCATATTTAGTCAAATTTATATTTGAATATTTGTAGCATCGATGCCAATAGTTTTATTTTTTTTAACTTAAAATATAGATGTTTAGTAATTATTAAACTAATTATTTTTATTTAAATAATATATTGAAGTACCTATGTAAGTTTTTTGTAAAAACATTTATTTAAATAGTAAAATTCATTGATTTCAGATCTGAATTGGATACACAATGTAAAAAGTGGAGACTTCGGGCCGATGCACTTAATGATTTGGCAATTTTCATTGAATTACTTTTAAGCATTACTTGGATTAGACAGTTTTCTTTAATCATCCTATCATTTTCAAGCTGCGCCAAGTCCATTGTAAGTGTTGCTGGAGGAGCAACACGTGCAGCATTAACACAACACCAGGTATTTAATTATTAAAATAATACTTACATTTAAAATTTGAATTAAGACAAACAATTTTGTGATTTACTTTTATTAAATTAATTTTGGTTTAATATTTAAAGGTAAACTTTAAAATTATTATTTACTTATTACATTTACATTTAAAGTACTTATGTACATATTAGAAATTTACTCGCATATTATATTTTTACTCCGAATAGGCTATTCGTGATAATATGGGAGATGTTTCAGCGAAAGATGGTAGTCAAGAAACTTGTATTAATCTAATTGCATTTCTTATTGGATTAATTATGTTACCGATTGTTGAAAATCGTATTTTGTAAGTATGAAGATTTTCACACATTAACATTTATTATTTTTCATTATTGTGGAAACCTTCTATACAACATCCTTTTAGTTAATGATAATAAAATCTTTTCTAGATTGATATGGATGATATACTTAGTAGTTACTTCTTTGCATTTGTTTGCCAACTACAAAGCAGTCAAAAGCTTAAATATCAATGTTTTTAACAGTGCCCGTTATGATTTGACTCTTAAATATTATTTGTCTAATGATACACAAAACCACGATGTACAAAAACCTGACTTTATTAATAAACGAGAAGCTTGTTTTTTAGAAGGTAAATTGTATTTATAGTGCTATCAATTTTACATAATTAATTGTTATAAAATGTGCATACAACATCTCTGAAATTAGTAACAGATATATAGTAAAACATGTTTTTTAAATTTAAATCAGGGGTCTTCAATGGATAAGGGCTGCTGCAGGCCACCTCTTATATTAAAATATGTGTTCAGGGCGCATTCATATTAATACAAAATACAGGGTATGCTTAAAATGTGTTCACAAGCATTGAATAAAGACAAAGCAGGTCTTTCCCTTTTGTAGACACGTTTACAGTTATACATTTAAATTCAATCAGTAATAATAATGTGTAGAATTTTCTTTAATAATAAAATGTAATAATTTAAATTTGCTCTATTAAAAAATTTATTTTAATTTATTTTTTTAGATGAAAAGCTGTCTTCTTTTAAAATACAATTGGGAACATCTGTCCATGATTTGTTGTATACAAACACATTGACTACATGGGATATAATAGATCACATTGAACTATATAAAGATTATCTTTATATATTAATAGTGGATACGCACAAAGACATCATACGTGTAGTGTTAGATAAAAATATTAATACTGAAAATATTTTAAAAGCATACTTTCATGCTAACATATTGGGTCATTTAATTTGTCCCAAGAATAAATTTGCATTGATAAAACTCAATTCTCTTCGTTCTGTAAGTTTCAAATAGAATAGTTCATTAGTGTATAGCAACATAATACATACAATATTTTAAAAAATGTACATAGATGAAGTATACAGCCACCAACACTCAATTTTGTTGCACACATTCAGAGTATGTTCAACTATCATGCGAGTTTGTTAATAAAAACTTTGATAAGTTTCTCCTGCATGCTAAAATGTCAGGTATTTACATACTATTATTTTATTAATGACTCACAACTAACATTTTACTATTGTGTTAGATTGGAGCTGTACAAGCCATCACCTAGTAGTTGATGAATGGAGGGCTTCATGGTGACACAATTAAATGGATTAATTATAAACAACTGGTCAAAAAAAAATATTAAGCAATGTTAATATTGTAAATGAAAATATATTTTTCACAACAACAACAAATTCATAATTCATATCACAGTGTTATTAAACTTAATTATGTAGATATTTCTACCTTGGATGATCCTGTTTGTGATAAATGTTTAACAACATCTATCCAATCATATCCCCGTGGTTTTTCTCCTTTTGAATCTAAACGATCCCATTGTTTTCTCTTTTGAGCTTTGCTCATAATTTCTTTCTTTGTTGTCTTTTTTGCAGATTCGTCATCATCTATTGACTAAAGAGTACAAATTGTAATGCTAATTATAATGTATTCTATTAATGATACAAATAATATACTAAAATACATACAAGTTTAGTTATACTTTCAATAACTTCTTTATCTGGTTGATCAGCTACGAGTTCTTCAGCAAAATCTTTCAGAAATTCAAAAAGGGTGAATGTCATAGATTCTCCCAAATAATGGTCAGCTTCTTTTGAAATTTTATCTTTAATATTTTCTTTAACTGAACTTACTCTAAAATGTTTATTTTATATGAGTGTTTTTTTATAAATTCAATACATTATGAAGTAATATTCAGTATGTTTTAGAGTGAAGTAACCAAAAGTTAGTTTTGAAACTGAATTTAAAAATTGTTTATGTATTATTTAAACTTATATTGATATTTAAGTTTATTTCTCAATAAAACTTTAAAATTAAGCAAAAATGTTAAACAAATATTATATTAATTGATACATTTACATTAAGAAGAAGCTACATAGACATTTGTTGCCTTTGTTAATTTAAAAATTATAGTGTATTAACCTCTTATAAAATGTAAAGGTAAGATTATTATCAAAGGCACCTTTTTATAATATTTTAATTTTAAAGCAAGTTATAAGTATTTAAAAATTATAAATTGTTTGTACATCTTAAAATACTCATAACTCGCATCAAAATAAAAATATAATATAACGCCTATAAGATGCCTTAGATAATAATTTTACCTTTACATTTTGTAAGAGATTAATACACTATAATTTTTAAAGTAACAGCTAAATATGATTTGCTAAGCATATAATATCTGTGTAGTATCTTCTTAAAGTAAAAATAAAAATGATTTTAATGTATTGCTAATAAATGATTTGAAATTAGACAGCTAAACTTGACTGGTTATACATCATCCAAATCATAAATTATATTACATAATATCTGTATTTCATAATCAAATGTATCCATACATGTGTTTATTGTAGAACATATCTAAATTTATTTTAGGTGCTTCATTCGGATAATTGATGTGCCATTCAACCTCCAATAGAAAGGATTTATTATCACTATCTTCTCCATACTATTAAGAAAAAAGTTAGTAAAGTAGATTATTACAAATAAAGTGACAGTAAACTAATAATGACGTGCACTATTTGGTATAACAATTGTATTTGTCATTAAACTTTATACATAGCATTCCATGCAAAAAACCTGAGCAAGTACTGAAAAATACTAGCGAGTACTAATATTTTTTAAGTGAAGTGAATACAGATTTGAAACAAAAATTATTTGAATAAAGTTACAAAAACATTAAACTTGTACAAATTAAGAAACATTATAAAACAAAATCATATCCAAAATTCCAATTGTCTTGCTAAAATGAAAAGTGAGTGTTTATTTAATTAATCTTATCATGTTGAATCATTTGGTTAGTAGCAAGTATTTTAAAAAATAAAATTAAGAGACATATACTAAGGATCCCTTGTACAAAAATGTCATTAAATAGTAAATACATATAATATCAAATTCTACCACTAATTTGATTCATAATTTTTTTTTTTGGAACATTAGTTTACTGTTTAAGAAAGTCTATACCTACATCAAAATATAAATATTTAAAATATCAAACAAAAAAACATTTAATAAGAGATCACATCGAACAAAATTATTTTCATTTTTAAAAAGAAATTTACCTTGTATTGATAAATAGTAGGAGAAACTTGCTTAAAAGCTTCATCGCCATCATAAATAGAAAGCAAGGCTTCTCTTTCCTCTTCTTGAAGCACTGAACAGTCTTCGTCCATACTAATCTAATTTGAAAAAAATGTATCATACATATTATCATAATATTTAATAAGTAGGTACTATAATTACTTGTACAATGATTAAAAAAAAAAAATACTAAATGTGACTAAATAAAACAAGTGTATGAGATTGTATAGTTTGTGAACATCATTATTTATAATAACGTATTAAAATTAAGTAAATAATTTAATGAACTAAATTGAGGAAAAAACTATTCGTTCATTAACATGACAACATGGAAAACATTTAATAACATGGAATTTAGAAATAAGGAAAGTTCTATTATCAATGATAACGTTATCGTTGGTTATCAACGTTATCATTTATTCATTTATGCCCATAGGAAAAAATTTTATTCACACTATCTTTTACTCAATTTATGCCCATTTTTAGGGTCTACACATTTGGTAGCACTATCACCTTCGCCGCCACCCACCACTCAAACCATAAATATTGTTCTGTGCTCAAACTATCCAAATTAAGTCTGGAAAAATGTACGACGAAAACAAGTCCGGTTTCACGCAAGTGTGTTACGCACGATTTAAGATAATATACAGGTTGCTTATCGGCATAGGATAAGGTGAGTATTTTCGGTATAGGTTGATGAGCAACCTGTATATCTTAAATCGTGCTTCATAGATAAAGAGGTTAAATAATAATGCTCAACACCTCTACTCAAAATTCAAAGTATATTTGACTAAAACTCGTTTTATCGTGCGTTCTCTTGCTACTATTTGTAGTAGCGGACGTAGTTAAATAAATGCCAATAAATGGCTAGTAGTTATTTACCCATGGTTGTAGTTACTACCTATAATTGTCTAAACAAATTACAATAATTGATATAATACATAATTTAAATAAGTTCTGCAATTAAGTACATACAATTTGTCTTTTTCGTTCCTTTTAATTGTTACTAAAAGTTGGCACTTAGCATTCAGCACTAATAACTAACCAAAGTCCAAAACAACTCTACACTTGCTAATAGCTAAATCATTTATAAAGTATCAGTGTCAGTATCGGTGATCGTTAACTAGTAAGTACCTACTTTGTAACTTTAATAAATATATATTTATAGTAAAAAAAATACAAATTTAACACCTACCTAACTCAATGTATTCTGTGTAGGTATAAACCAAATTGCGGTAAAAAAGTCCTCAGCCAAAGCCTGAAAATTCAGGTGTGTAACAATATTTAAAATAATAAATTTAAAAAAAATTCAATGATTTTAATTGGGTACTTCCGAGGGTACTGATTATCACGACCATCATACAAAATATATTTTAATGATTTCTCAGTTTATTTAAGTATTAAATTTATCTTAACTGAAAAAATTCCGGTATACATGTATATATAACAAAATTTAAAACAATTTATTTTGCTGATATTTGTACCTACAAGATTATCTATTAATTTTGTTAGGTAAATCATTTGATAACAATTTATAGGTATTAATACAAATTGGCTGTTTGATTGTGTATCACATCATATTTTTTCTTTTACCTTATTATATGTGCCGGACTTTTTGGTAGAATACCTAAAAAACCTATTTAAATTTAATCTGTATTTTGGTTGTACACAGTCCCACATGTTTTATTTAAAGTTCTTTCAACGCGGAACAACATGGCAAATCAAACTCGTTTTTATATTTCAACTTATTCAACAACTTCTTACACTCTTAATAAGAATTTGGGACTTGTTGCACTTAAAATGATTAAAATATGCTCACAATTGCAGTAATTTTTTTTTTTGTGAAAAATTTATAAGAGCTATTAAAATGTTAGGAATAAAAAACTCAAAAATAAGTATATACAAAAACATAATAAAAATAATTTATACAAGGGTTTACTAATTTTAATTTATATTAATAAATATTTAATACTTACACTTGCATGTTTAGGGATTTTTAAAACTATTTTAAAATAAAACAACTGGCATAATATGTACTATGGGGAGAAATATCGATAAATGTGATAAATAAACACCTATCTACTGATTTTAATTGCTTCGTACAATCTAGAATCTAGACATTATCACATTTTGTCACAAACACTCGGAACATCTTGCATACCTATCTACTATGTGCACAAATAGTTAGGAGGGACTTACGGTCCACGTCTCTATCAACAATTTTAATAGCCCTCCCAAACATTTCATAATTTTTTTAAACTTTATTCTTATTGTAATAGTTGGGTTTCAGGCTTCAGTCTCCATCTCAAACTTTATTGGTGCCAACCCAATCATAATTTATTTTACGAAATATATTCATTTATTGAATGTCTTCCAATTATTATTTTTTTTACAAAATTACGTACATAAAAAAAATTCTATATATGCTAAAAGTTGCTCAATGTACAATTTTTGTATAATATGATAAAATATGCAAATTCAAACTTAGTATTTAATTTTTTAATTTCATAAAACAAATTTATAACTAACCTAGAATCTACGACCACTATAATAGAACATGTAAATGAAAGAAGTTCCAAACTACTCATAAATATCTAATGCACAGAATGCTTAGGCTTACTGATCAGGTGTAACCCTTTACTCCATTTTATAATCAATTAATTACTGCTTATTTATCTGCATCACTTTGTCTATAATTGTTTGTACGTATACTAAGCAGTACAATCTTATTCATTTGTGTACCTACTATTCTTAAGTTTAATTTATGTTATATTTACTCATAATGTTATTGCCGATTGGCATTTATTCCAAAATACCTAAAAAAATTAATTGTACTTCATACTTCATAGATAAATCATACTTCTTCATATCTCAATATTATATTATAAAAAAGTTATATACTTTTGTGTTTTGTATTGATATATGATTTGGTATCACAATTAAATAATAATTAAAATATATTTTTACAATATTTAATTTACTTTTGATCCCAATTCTAGTTATGAAAAAAAACAATGGTGACAAGGGTGTTATCATATTATGGCTGAGCCCTTTAGTAAGGCCATCATATTATTTTTCAAAAAGTATTTTGTATTAAATTTGTTTTATTTGGGTACAGTCATATAGATACTATAAGGTGTGACACATGCTCTTAATTTCAGTTTTTTAAATGTTGGTACCAAAATATTTGCGAACCAAAAATAAACGTTTAAAATATATGACCTGTAATCCCTCCCCACCAAATGACCGTCTTGTCTTAAAAAAATACATAATTTATGGTTGTATTCACAGGAATCGAGAAACACTAAGGACATTCTTCATTATGGAACCATTAAAAACATCTATTAACAATTCTGCAATAAATTCCAAGTAAGAAATTACACTATTGAGAAGTGAATAGTGAAACATTACAAAAATATAAACATTTTAAAATTATTTATTTTTCTAGAGTGTTGATTATACCACTAATTAGATGTGATGATCAAGTTATTAAACAGGAAATTATTGATGAAACAGACCAAAATAATGATAATCAATCATTACAAATAGTGTAAGAATTATATTTACTTTATAGCCTAATATGAAATTCAATGATAAGAAAATGTTAGTTTCTATTGTATGGATGTATATGGTAATTTGATTTAAACTATTGAAGTTTTCAACATATTTTTTACAAAATCCTTTATAAGATGATATATCAATGTATAAATTAATATCATTTTAATACATTAAAATTTTATTAGGCTTAGCCCCCTAGAACTATTGTTGTCTATTTCGTTCAAGTAAATGTAATAGGTATTGTGCTTATCATATAAAACTTGATGTGGCAAATGACAATAACACCTATTATAGAGGATATCTATACTTTTTATAACAATGGTCGGAACAAATATATTTAGCGCTGTTGGTACCAAGTATAATAATTATAAATTGAGTTTTTAATAATTATAACCCTAAAATAATAGTTTAATATTATACATAATAATATACGTTCAAAGGCGCTGCGACCTGTTAGCCCACTTCATTATCTATGATATGTGTTACAATTTATTAAATTAATCATAATAAAAAAGATTTTTGAAGAATTGGTTGAAGACATTTTTGTTATTAGGTATTATTTCAAAGGTTACCTACCCTGGCTGTTTAAAACTTAATAAACTAATTCTCAAATGTTTTATTAAAACTAATAAAATTTATATTATGTTAACTTTTATTTTTAGAACTTTATGTCAATTTGAAGAAAAAGTTATCAAAACTGAAACCAAAATAAAAAAGGAAATAGATGTAATCAATGGTTTTGTGTTTGAAGGAAGTGTTTTGACAGAAGACCATTCTTTGGAATTCATTACACGATTGAATGCTGATGTAAGATCTGACTCAAGAAAAAAGCCTCCTAAACCAGTTTCTAAATCATATAAAAATCAAGAGCATAAAAAAGTACATACTGAACTTAATCATCCCAAACCCAATGATGAAATTTTGACCTCAAAAGTAAAGATTCATAACAGTAAACTAGAAAAGTCATTTGTTTGCGATTATTGTAATAAGTCATATCATAGTAAATCCGCTATAAGAACCCATATGATAAAACATTCCGGTAAAAGGCCATATAAATGTGATATTTGTGATAAAATGTTTAAACAACCAGGACATTTAAAGAACCATATGAGATCACATACAGGAGAAAAGCCGTATAAATGTGATGTATGCAAACAAGCGTTTGCTCGTGCAGACACTTTACGAATTCATACAAGAACACATACCGGAGAAAAACCATATAAATGTGATGTGTGTGATAAAAGATTTATTTGTAAACAACATATAATATGTCATTCTAGAATACATACTGGCGATAAGCCATTTGAATGTGATATATGTGATAAAAGGTTTTCTTCGACATCTAGTTTAAGAAGGCATGTAAGAGTACATACTGGAGAAAGGAGGTTTAAGTGCGATAACTGTGATCAAGAGTTTTCTCAATTGATACATTTAAAAGTCCATATGAGAAAACATACTGGAGAACGACCATATAAATGTTACATTTGTAAACGAGCTTTTTCTCATTCAGCAAATTTAAAAAAACATATAAAAATACATTCCATACAAAATTCATGTCATAAATGTGATGTATGTGGTAAAGGGTTTTGTAATTCTTCAAGTTTAAATGTGCATTCTAGGACACATACTGGTGAAAAACGATTTAAATGCGATATCTGTGATCACATGTTTTCTCAGGCAGGAAATTTAAAATCCCATATGAGATTACATACCGGAGAGAAACCATATAAATGTGATATTTGTAAACGTGCGTTTTCTCGTGCAGAACATGTAAAATCTCATATGAAAACACACGCCAAATAAAAGCAATATATCTATGACCAGTAAATTTTTTTCACAATTAGTTTGGGGGCGGAGTGGTCGAGTAGACTCGGTTGCAACTTGCGCCGTCGCCGGTTCGAACTTCGATCACGGGCTGCATTTTTCTCGGTCTGGAGAGAGAAGCCGCCACCCCCCAACCGGGCATGGCAGAAAACTGCGGGTGCCCAATCAAAATTCTGCCAAATAGGCGTCCGAATTAGTAACTCATCTGAACTAGCGCCATATGAAAAAAAAAATTAGTTAAGTTTTTCATTTGTTCTTGGAAATATATATAATTTGTAATTGTCTATATAAAATTGTAATTTATAAGCTATACACGTTTTTATTGTGAATGTATTACTCGCTCTATCTCTAACTCAAGATTAGTTATAAAAGATAGATGATGATCATGTTAATCATATAAGTTTTTTGTATTATGTCAGAAAAAAACCTCAGTATTGTCTAATAAACAAAAACATTAATTTACATATTCCAATGTTTTGTGCATCTATGTATCACATTAGATCATTTTGACAAAAAAAGGTTCCTACACTATTAAAAAACTTCTTGAAGTTATTTTACTAGTTCTAGATGCTTATTAAATTGAATTTGATATTTTATAATTTAATAACTTATATCTAGTATAAATCTAATGTACCGGCGCAACTAGGTAAATTTTTCTGAGGGGAGGGGGAGGCTAAAATTGCATCTTCAGCAATGCAGCATATACCCTGATAATTGATATTTTTAACTAAAAGATAATTAAAAATGGGGTGGGCTAAGCCCCATTAATTGCGCCTAAGTTCAAATGATGTTCAATTATTTACAAAAATGAACATACTGCCATTTTTTTAAGATTATAATTTTAGCAACAATTATCAATTTATGAAGAAATACAATTTCCACAAATATTTGCTATATATAGTAGAATTCATTTCAATCTATCATTAACCATGTATGTCCTTATTCCTTTAGTGAATCACTAAATGCAATAACGGCGGATGTCCATAATTTTTATAAAATCACATTTTTACGGATTTGAGTTTAGGTTTGATAAATACATCGTTTTATGCAATATAAGTCCAGTTTACAACTGGTACTTTATGTATGGCAAATTGTAATTTTTGTAAAAATGGCACATTTACAAGGACCTAAAAACGCCCGTTAATATATATAAATAAATAAATAAAAATGACGTGTAATTGTATAAATGTATTATAACGCAATGACGTGTATTATAACACATCCTATAGATGGTTTAGATAGAAATATTATAGCTGTATCATCAGCCAAAAAAGATGTGTACATTGGTACAAAACTCAACTATAGTAATAAGAGATGTTATTTTTTTCAATGGAAATCAATGTTTTTGATGTACGACCTGACGTTTTATAATAAATGACGAGAACTATGAACCACGATCTCTAATCTTAATAATTAAAAATTACTTAAGTAAATTTAAAATGAATAAAATTTGAAGATCTGAAAAACAACAAAACAAAAATTATTATTAATTAATGTGAGCTCTTATTTAATGGCCATGAGCTTATAATATTCAATAACCCATGTTATGTTCCTACAAATATAGAGTAAAAAGAATTAATAAATAAATTGAAAAAAATAAATTATTAATTTTTGTTTATTGTAATATTACCATGTATTAAGACTATAAGGGTAAGAAACAATTGTTTTTATTTTTATGCTCAATTCAACTTTTATTAAATAGTAGCCCGATATATGATGTAAAATACTTCTGTAAGTATAGTATATTTCAATTGTGTATTACATAAAAAAATACTGGAAAATGAGCTAAAAAAGAAAAATGTGACCTAAACAATTAAAAATGTCAAAAAATGCAAAATAAAAGTCGCATAAATAAATATTTGTACTTACATAATTCAAATTATGTACTTACAAAGCTACGTTTCGCAATCACCAAAAAAAATGCACTTTCCTACAAATTCACAGCCCTAATTATAACTATGACTATAAGCTATAGATAATATACCAGGGACTATATTTACCGGTTAATCGATGTGGGGTTGGTTGAATACCTACTAAAATATCCTGTGAAAGACCCTTAGCGCACCACACATTTTTGAATGCATTATATATATATATAATATATATGTATCATCCATTATGTATGATTATCTTCTATAGCTATGTACCGCTAAACTGTTTATAACTTATGTAATATAATGTATGTGTAATGTGTATATATATAGGGAAATTTATACACACACTGATTATATATTATATGTCCGGGTGAAACCATGTACAATGTATAATATGTATAGTAGCTTGGAGTAAAATGTTCGATGCATTAAAACCAAGTTATTGAGGTATAATGTATAGTCAATAGATCGACTAGTTGATCAATGTTTGATAAACTGTTAATGAATACTTGTAAAAAAAATAAACGAATACATCGATGAAAAAATTGAATGATTTAAATAGTTCATCAGGTCTATATCATATATGTATGTGTGTATGTATGTACTATGTATACATGCACGTATGTATACATGAGCGTATATGTGTATGTATAGCTGGGTGATGTACATGCGTTTGTACACACACGTTTAATATACATTTCACCTATGACGCAAATGACAGGTTATAAGTATTTTCGTGCCATAAACTAAATGACTATACTGAATCGATATTCCATATAAACCGGTAAAAAAGATGTTGTCGTCTCTTAAGGGGTTGTGGTTTGAGGTGCATAATTTATTTATAATTTATTAATAATTCGATGATAACTACGATCATCTGTTACGAGTTTTATACCTGAGAGTAGATTTATCAGGTTATTGACATTGTTGGGCGGTGAAAAAGTAGTCTGCCCTTTATGAACAATTTCAATTTCACCACACCTTTGTATACATATATGTATATATAATATTTGTTTGAACCTGAGCCGTTTTCGCGCCTGTGACAAGCAGTGTGTCCGTGTGATACCTACTGTCTTGTCACCCCACTGGCTTTCCGACGCCGAAGCGCGCTTGCGCAAACTTTTGGCGACCGGCATCGTTGACCACCGGTTCACCACCCATGTGTTTGTTGTCACCATCGTCGTCCGGTAAAGTTTGCCGTGATCGTGGGTGTCGTCTTGCCTTTTTGGTACCACGTGGTTACCGTGTTGGCCAAAATGCTCCTTATTGTGACGATTGTGCGTCTGTCGTGTGCCAACGGCATTTTGATTGTTATATATTGACATCACCCGTCGCACGTTACTTGCACGTGCCCGCATTTTCGTGTGCGTCTGCCTCCTATTATTCGCGGAGCTTCTCACGTGTCTGGAGACACGTTAAAACACCGTGACGTCAGTGGTCAGCGATCTCATCTCTGCCAAGCTATCTGCTAGTGTTAATTGTTTTGGTGACATCGCGGGATCGCGGAATTCTACAAATCCGTCATCGCCGTGGGACCCCGATATCCAAACGTATGTGATCAGCGGTATCGTTAATATTATAATTTATAATTTATTATTGTATCCATATTAATGTGTATATCGCACATCTGTTGTGCCCGTTATATCATACTGTAATCAACTGATGTCATATTGTTGATATGATTGTTAATATGGCAATTGTCTGAAAAGACGTCTTCGGCGTTGTCTCATTATTATATATAGTTTGTGTTCTACGTATCAATTATTTATTATATACTATATTTTGTGACACTATATTTTGGATCCTTGTCATTTTTCCCACACACTCCGCGAGTCGCTCAGCAAACTGCCCAGGTAAGTGCTGGCGGCGCATACAATATTCATATGTAGATAGAAGGTAATATGGTACAGTCAATAGTGTTTTTTTAAATATGTTATGTGCATAGCTTATGTATAACATTACAACTCACTATAACGTCCTAATAAAACAAAATATACTCATCAAATATATTACGTATTTGAAAAATACATAGCCCTCCTCAACTCTCCGTATGTATTATAGATGTGTATAATTATCTTCTAGACCACGTATATACTATAATTTAATGACAGTATATTATTTATTATGTATGATGTATATGCAGTATTATCTATATACACATAAGTGGGTATACAAAATTGAACGATTCAAATAACTGATCAGGTCATCTGCATATACGTCCATAACAGGTACATTGAAACTTGGAGCTAGCTACTGTTAATTATTGATCTGCTGTATCAGACGCTTCGCGTAAACTTGTATTGTGTTTTCACGTGTTGAGCAGTGCCAAATAGGTATGTATATGTTTATAGATTCCCAGTAGCAGATAACGAGGTAGCCGAGATTGTGAACGTTTTGCAGCTTTCCGCTGTCACATTACCGCCGATACGCCGGGCGGGGTCGAAAAAATAAAAATCAATTCCCAATTTTTCTATGGTGCAAAATGTAATGCAAACCATATTGAAACCATGATTCATCCATAATTCTCTTAGGAATCTAAAAAATAAAAATCAATTCCGCGATGTTGTTATGGTGCAAAAGGAGTAGGTATGATGGAAAATTCAAATTTTAATTACGTTTCGTTTTTAATAATAATAATAAAAAACAATTATTTTGAAATGATTTATAAATCAGCTGTCATTAATTAAAGCGCAACGTGGTACACTAGTTTAATTAAAACATTCCGATTTCTACAAAAAAAAAAAAAAATGACATGCAAAATTTAATGATGAGAATTTTATATTACATGTCATATTATTATACTTAATTTAATATATCATGGTACGATTATGAACTCCTATTATTCTTTTACTTTTTATCGTCATTTTTTTAAGGGCTTACAACTTTATGCTTTAAAACACCAAAACGAAACTTTAACATCAGACGATTGTTAGATTTAGTTTTTTTTTTTGGTTACGGAAACCCGTTAACCACCAAACATCGTTATTCGTTCAATTCGATTCTACCTATTTTGGAAATATCGCAACTGAATACAAATTATATTAAACAGTAATTTATCCTTTGTCGTTCCACGACAATAGTTTTGTAACGCAAACGAATTAGTAGAAAATAGTAAATCACTTTGAAATCCCCGAAATTCGCTACTAACCATTCGGCCTTCAATAGCACGGACAACCGAAAACACTAAAAATCCATTCCTTTATGCTAGGCGTCCATCGCGCATCTCACAACTTCACCTAACCAAATTCAACAGAACAAAGCGCGTTTTCGGGCAAGTGGACTAATTTTACCTATTGATACAATAACGGTCCGTTAGGTTTGACATGTCTTGGCTTTTGTTTTTTTTTTTCCTTTAGTCGTTTGAAACCTTAGTAAGGTACAAAGAAACAGACAGGTCAAAACAAAAATATTATATTTTAGAATTGTTACAACCTATAAAACTATGAGAGCACAATATTTCAACTGGCAAACGGGTCAAGACATTATTATAATTATTATTCAACGTTTTAATGATAAATATTAGATAATATAATATTATTTTCTACGCAGCAATGTACCTATATTGCCTATACATTGCGCCATCTTGCAAAGT